CAAAAATCACCGAGTTATTGTATAGTAAAGGACTGTCAGCTTTTTATGGTGCAATTTAGTGATGTATTGGTTTGTAAAGTCTTGATTTCCTGTAAATGCTGTCAGCTTTTTATGGTGCAATTTAGTAATACATTGGTTTGTAAAGTCTTGATTTCCTGTAAATGCATTATTTTCAATATTAAACTACCTGATCAGTTGTGGCATGTAGTTCTTCATATTTTACTAACTTTTTGTACCCGTGTGCTTTCTTTCAGGCAAGGGTATACTGAAGATTATTATACAAAAAGTGGATGGAGTGATTATTATCCAGGCTATTACCCAAACTCATATGATTATGGAGGTAAGATGTCAAAAAGAAGCTCTGAATTTTTCCATAGAAAAATGTATGTTTAAAGGATAATTTATGGGGAGGAGAAACTTTAAGATGAAATAATTTATTATGTTTTTTCCATATTAATAAAGCTGGTACCCTTTCCACAACCTTGGTGTGTATCCTTGGTATGTGACCTGCAGGCAGACTTGTAAAGCAAATTTTAAGTGCGTGTAAACAGAAACTGACTCTTGACTAGAAGTTGGTTTAGTCCATAATTATCTGAACGCTCACAGAGACACACTGGCAGTGGTAATCTGAAGATAATTGCTTGTGTAATGCCTGGGAGGATTTTAAGCAACATCTGTCCACATCCTGAGGCATTTAGTGTGGTGCTCTGAAGAGTGAGTGCAAAGATTCTGTTAATATTTGTTTAGTTGTTACCATGTTTCATCTGAGTTTTAAAGGTGCTACAAAAGAATTACCTGTCTGATGGTAAATGCTGTCCATTGGAGACTAACTAACTGTAATAATTATTTCTCTGGAAGGTGTGAAATTGATTTTTTTTATTATTATTATTTTTTTTTTTTAAACTAAAAATGAGTGGACCATACTTATGTAGTTTTAAGTACATTACTTCGGTTTTGCTATGTGCTTCAGGACCAAATCAGCATGTAATTCTAGAGAAAGGAGTAGAAAAAGGTTATAGGCAGAAGTTTCCAGTACCTAAACCACTTCTTTTTATTTTCCAAAGATCCAAGTCGCTGGGAACGTTACTCATCAGCTTATGACCCCAGATACAGAGATCCGAGGAGTTACGATCAGAGGTATTGGTATGATGCTGAACACAATCCTTACCAGAAGAGGGAAGCGTATTCATATGGCAACAGGTTTGTCCATTGATCTGTGTTCCCTAAGTGTTCTTCCCAAAGCGAGGGCAGCACAGGGGGGCTGGTGACAATCAGAGAACTCGGGTGTTTGGGGCCTGGGGGCTGGTGACAATCAGAGAACTCGTGTGTTTGGGGCCTGGGGGCTGATGACAATCAAGAGAACTCGTGTGTTTGTCTGAGCAAATGCAGAGGATCTCATATAGGTTTCTTCAGGGCTGAATCCCCCATAGTCAAATGCGTCACTAAAAAATTAAGCTATGGCAGTTAAAGCAAAGGCTGAGGCTTTGCTTGTCGCCTAACAGAAATACTACTTTATTTGCTGTAGATCTGCTCCAAAGCCTTCAAAATGTATGAACTGTTGTCAGAATTCTATCAGGCACTGAAATTTCAGGGTAACTAAAATCCTCTAAATGTTCTCTAGAATGCAGATGCATCCTGTTAAAATGCAGTATTACAGGTATTTCACAGGTGTATGTTGCTAGTACTTCCTGTAGCTTTAACACAGATCGTTGAGGAAAACCAGATGAGCTGTCACATCACTCTCAAGAAAATGATTTAAGGCAGTAGAACTCGTTCTCGGATCAGGTGAACTTTCTGTGGGTTTTCTTAAAGCAAACTCTGAGTATGATGTTGGTCTTGATCTCGAATATTCTGGATTGACTTCTGGAGGAAATGTCAGTTTGTTTGCTGTAATAAAAACCCCAGTCTAGGAAATAATCTCGAAGCCCTCCTCAAGTTAGGCATTGTTTTCTTCTTGCCATGTATGCTGGGAAGTCACTTCCCCTGGGGACCTGGGTGGCTCTGCTCATTTTTTCCTTTGTGCGTTTCTCTGTTCTTCAGGCACGACCGATACGAAGAGAACTGGAGATACGATCCGCGTTTTACGGGAAGTTTTGATGATGAATCTGAACCCCACAGAGATATTTATGGCGATGAATTTGATCGACGCAGCGTCCACAGTGAACATTCTGGTCATAGTCTGCGGAGCTCCCGCAGCATTCACAGTCACCAGAGCAGTTTCAGCTCTCGCTCTCAACAAGTGAGTTTCAAATGGCCACATCAAGTATCCTTTCAGCTGAGCTGGGCTTTTCTCTGTGTTAGGGGTGGGTGAAACATTAGAAGTATGGAAATGTTTCTGGGTTTAGCTTGGGGGGTATGTATGTTGAAAACTTGTTCTGTAAGTTAAGGCTGTTTGGTAATACAGTTTTGAACTTAATATTTATCACAGTTGTCAAGAGAACTTTAAGCAAAAGCAGCACTCAGCTGTGCAAGTTGCCACACACACAGAAATGGAAAATTTCCTCTGCTGAATCCATTTGCTGTTTGTGAGAACTTTGCCCTTACTGTGCTTGGCTGTAGTTGATAATGTGTCTGGCTTTCAGTGTTAACGTCATTTTTTCTTATCACAAGCATGAATGCTATTAGTGAACTTGGGATCTATTAAAAGACTAACTCTGTATTTGTATGATGCTATTCCGACTTAAAAAGCAAACCCCAAACCTAGCTGATTGCTCATCTACTTACACCATAAGTACCAATTAGGAAAACCACAGAATATTTCAGTGATTTCTGACATGCAGTCTTTGCTAGCGGAATGTATCATTTTAGCTGTAGTCTTAGGTATTGATTCGTCATGTTTCTTGGAAGTGGAGGTGGTTTTCCAGTCTGAACTCCAATTAATTTAGTGATATTGGAAGTCGTATTGGAAATCATTTAGGCGTTAATCTTTAGGCACCTGAATTCATTTAGTTGTTCATCAGGTTTAATCTGTTGAGATTTTCCATAAAAGTATTACAGCTTGTTCTGATCTATAGTTGCTGATGCAGCAACACTTGAACCTGTAACTCATATAATGTTACTCTTGACACAAGTACATAAACGAGAAGTGAACGTACCTGGGTGTGAACAGCTCAAATGTATCTAAAAACACTGAGAGAGAGCTCTGAGATCTATTCATAATCTTCTGTTCATAATCCCCTGCTGCAGGGGTCTTACAGGGTGGCTTTCTCAAACGCAGTGGTGCAGTCAGCCTGGTGTACAAACAGTATAAATAACTGAAGCTGGGAGAATGCTGAGTGTCCTGAATCACGCTTGCGGTGTTGCTTGCCTTGTGTAACTTCATGCTCTCTGCTAACAGTTACTAATATGATCTATTTAGAGCCAGCTGTATAGAAGTAATCACGATCTAACGGCTAATGCGTATGAACCTACCGCGCAGGCAGTGTCGCTCCACGCAGATTACCCGTACGGCGGGTACGCTGCCAACTTTGAGGGACAACAGCCTTTTCCAGACTATGGCTACGCCACCGAAAGCGGATGGTCAACCGTCGAACAAGGTATCGGCGCCGCTGGGCTAGGAGGAGGGAAGGCACCGTGCTTGTCAGGTTGTTTGCTGGTAGTAGTTGGTGCTCTCGTAGTGCCTGAGATACTTTTCCTGTGTTTGCTGAGCCTAGGAACAGGAATAAAAATGCTGGTTTACAGCATATGTATGTGGGAACAACATTTTGTTTCCTTTTTACCATAGGGATAACGTGCTTGCAGAAACCTGAGTGTCACAGAACAGTAGTAGCTAGACAGCGCTTCTACCAAATACTGTATGATTCCATTTGTAAACGTCTTTTTAGATAGATTTTTAACTCTGCTGCTTGTGCTTCATGGGAGATGACAAAAGTTTAGCTTAAACTTTGGATTTCCCCATAATTTTTTCTTAGCTTTTTGGTATGGAACAAAACACTTCCTCTGGAAAAGCTTTTCCAGAGCATGTTGAAGTATGTCGTTACCTCTTTCAAGATGCATCACATATTTCTACAGAAATCACAGAAATGAGACCAATGCAGTCAAAGCCCCTGCATTAAAAAAATAAGTGAATTTTTAAAAGTTATGTAGTCTATTTTTGTTCTTATTATTGCAAGCCTTCAGAAGATCTGTAATGAGACTGATTAGTTGTGGCATATAAAGTTTAGCCAAATTGAGTTTCAAGGTTTTTTTCTGCTAGTACTGCAGGATTACTGAGTTGGATAGATACATGGGCAGGTTTCCTTGGTTACAAGACAGGTTACTTGGTTCTTTTTTTATTTTGTCTCCCCATTTCAGCACCTTTAAGGCCCTCAACACCGGAGAAGTTTTCAGTGCCTCATATCTGTACTAGATTTGGTCCTGGGGGCTTCTTAATAAAAGTGCTGCCAAACCTGCCTTCAGAAGGACAGCCAGCTCTGGTTGAAATACACAGTATGGAGGTAAAGTTTCAAAGAAAAAAGGGAGGTGGTGGAATACGGATCTTTCTTTTGAAAGGGGAGTAGGGAACTTGGATCTGTAGCTTCCTGACTTTCTTTTGTATCTCAGCACATGTATCTTCATGTGTTTGGGCTGTAATTGTAAGTAAAACAGTAGCTTTAAAAATTCTTCTCTTCTGAGGGATCATGTAGTCATGATCGGATCATCCAGCTCCTTATAATTTTATTCATGTAAAATCCTTATATCCCAGAAGGGCTGGAGTTGTGTTGTTTTTTATCGTGTGTTGCTGTCGATAGAAACGACCCTGTCCTCACCCGTTCTCTGCAGGGCTGGGGACTGCTTGTCACCTAGATGGGCTGGGCCTTTGACATCACGAGCGTGTTTTCATTCTTCTTGTGTCACAACAATATTGGTAGAAGGAAATAGAACTGTATACAAGTACTAGAGCAGCCTCGGGGACATTATTTGACTTGGCAGTATCAGGTTTATGGCTGGATTCGATCTTAAAGGTCTTTTCCAGCCTCAGTGGTTCTGATTCTAGTCTGTGAGTAAAGAGATTGGGTTTATGTTTTGCTACAGGATGAATTCTGTGTAAAGTACATTTCATCATTTAGTACCCTTGTGCAGGTTGCAAGTCACTAAGTATTCTGTTTGAGTGTATAGGCTGGATTACAGGTTATGGTCAGGTCTGGGTTTTTACTGTTGAAAAGCAAAATCTATAGTTGTAAGAATTTCCTATGGTTTATGTTTATGTTTTAGACGATGTTACAACATTCTCCAGAGCAAGAAGAGATGAGAGCATTTCCTGGTCCTCTTGCTAAGTATGTTCTTACGGATTTCAGAAATAACTTTCATGCATTAAGAATTAATTCCTTCATTGAGTTTTGAGTTGTCTGCAAATTACAGGATTTAAACTGACTTAAATATTTGTGGCATTTCACCTGCTTTAATAGTAGGCGAGCTTTAAATTTGTTCCTTGTGTTAATCACAATAATGATCTGGATGTTTACATTGGTCTCATTAATTTTTTTTTTTTTTTCCCCAGAGATGACACCCATAAAGTGGATGTTATTAATTTTGCACAAAATAAAGCTACACAGTGCTTTAAGAATGAAAATTTAATTGATAAAGAATCAGCGAGTCTGCTTTGGGACTTTATTGTACTGCTGTGCAGGCAGAATGGGGTATGTTTCACCACTCATTTTTGTCTATCCTAAAACATTTTATACAGAAAATGGTCTTTATGTAAAAGACAGTAATGTGTGTATGACTAATCTTGGAATAGCTCACAGATTGGTAGAACTCCTAAACGGGTCACTTGTCCTGAGGTGCTCACAGGTGCTTCAACATCTTGTTGTTGAAGTTGCAAATAAAATGAAGACAATGATGAAATAATTGATTTTTTTACTGTCTGGGTTTTTTCTGTCTGCGTGTGTAGACTGTTGTGGGAACAGACCTGGCTGAACTTCTGCTCCGAGATCATAAAACAGTTTGGCTTCCTGGGAAGTCCCCTAATGAGGCAAATTTGATTGATTTCACTAACGAGGCTTTGGAGCAAGCGGAAGAAGAATCTGGAGAAGCCCAGCTCTCATTTCTCACCGATAGTCTTATAACCACAATTGACAGTCTTGAAAAAGAGACGGAGAGATTCAGAGAGTTGCTGCTTTATGGTCGCAAGAAGGTGAGTGCTTGTGCTGTTGTTCCAGCTACTGCATGTGTCTTATTTTGTTTGCTTATTTTTCACAAATCTTTAAGCGTTGGGCATCAGATAAAATAATTTCTGTAACTTGCAGTGGCTATTTCATGGCCCTGCGCTCCCCAGATATGGAAAAAAAGTTATGTCCTACAGTTTATAATGTTAAAGAAAATTATATGCGTGTATTAGTATTTGATCTAAACAATTTTGCATTCAGTCACAAAGTACTACTGTAAAAGAGTTGTTGTTTATCTGAGCAGTACTCACAGGAAACTGGGAAGCAGTATTCCCAGGAAGCTATTCCCAGGAAAGTAATTTCTGTATTAATTAGGATGCTCTGGAGTCCGCCATGAAGCATGGTTTATGGGGTCACGCTCTGCTACTTGCCAGCAAAATGGACAGCAGAACGCACGCGAGAGTTATGACCAGGTACTGTAATCATGAGTTATCCTTCGTAGATCCTGCAAGAATTATGCTTTAATTTTACCTGTATATTCAGGTGTCATCTTTTACTTTTTATTCTGGGGCCTTCTGGCCGTAAACTTAAGCTGAGAAGTTATTCTTTGCCGCTTGTTTGAATAAAAAGGTATTTGAACAGTGTCATCTGCTGGCTTGCTTGACACATGCTGTCAGTCAGCTTTGAAAAACCTGCAAAAAACGAGTTGTCAATATTGTTAAAGCTGAATGACTGTTGTACCCTTCATTCTCCTTGCCTGAAAGAAGCAGATGTGTTTGTCTGCAGACAAAGCATGCACAGAACTTTCTCTCAGGTTCCTGAGCTTGTGAAATCACGTACTAAGTGAAGTCAGGTGGCGTGGGGAGAATCCGGAGATTTTCATAGCTTGGGCTGACCTATCTCAGCGCGGCAGATCCGGTTAACTAGTACCATTGTGCTTTTGAACGTTATCCAGGGGAAAATTGCTTTTTCAGTGTAGTATTTTCAAACAGCGCTTCCTTCTCTTAAACTAAGCTAGATTAACTGCGGCTCAGTGTTTGAGTACATTGTAACTCCTTACCCCTATTTGTGTTTTGTTTCTCTGTATGATGTCTCTGTAGATTTGCCAACAGTCTCCCAATTAATGACCCTCTGCAGACTGTTTACCAGCTCATGTCTGGAAGGATGCCAGCTGCATCCACGGTAAGATTCAAGTGGGAGCTGCAGCTGAGACAGGAGGTGCTGCAGTGAGAAGTTAGTGCACAACAGTAACCTTTCCCTGTGATTTTTCTTAGAATTGTCAGATAAGTTCTTTTGGTCCTTTTTAGGTTGAAACACTTGCCCATGCAGAGCTCCAGTCACTGATTTGACTAAGTAATTCTTCTAATTTTAGTGCTGTGGAGATGAGAAATGGGGAGACTGGAGGCCTCATCTAGCAATGGTGTTATCCAACTTGACCAATAATGTGGACTTGGAATCCAGGACCATTGCTACCATGGGAGACACTCTTGGTAACTCTTGGGGAACGAACAGGGTGATGACTGAAGGAAAAGCTTTCTGAAAGCTTTAATTGCTCAGCTTGGCTCCGCTTATTTTTCTTTGAAAACAAGCAATTACTGTGTAAAATGTAAAGCAGAACAGTTTTATATGGGTATGTCTCTGTTGTGAAGGTATTTGAATGCGAAGCCAAAACCACAGGGGACGCTAAGTGACAGTGTGCCGGCGGAGGGAGATATCCTGAGTTCTGTCGCATATTTCTTTACAGCTTCCAAAGGCCTGCTGGATGCTGCTCACTTTTGTTACCTTATGGCCCAGGTTGGTTTTGGAGTTTACACAAGGAAGACAACAAAACTCGTCCTAATTGGATCAAATCATAGGTTTGGCTTTCCTTTTTGTTTTTTTTTTTAACATGACTTTTCAGTTGCGAAGATGAAAGCTTAATGGCTTGAGGGCATGGCTCCTCTTACCACTAGCTGCAGCTGGTTTTGAGATAACTATTTGAAGTCCTGCCCTTGTTTGAGGAGTAAAAGTTAGTGATGTTGTGTGTCTAACAGAGTCATGTTTCTGACTATTTTTGATTGTCTTTATTGTCAGCATGTACAATCTCAGTGTTTAATAATACTCTTTCCTCTCCTGTTCTCCCGCAGCTTGCCATTTCTTAAGTTTGCCACCAACGAAGCCATTCAGCGAACAGAAGCCTATGAGTATGCACAGTCACTAGGAACTCAGCCTGGCTGCTTGCCCAATTTCCAGGTGAAGAGCTGTTTCTTTTTTGTATTTTGACAGGTTTTATGTGAACTTTTAGTTTCTCATGTGCCGTATTCAGCACAGCAAGTATTTTATCCATGGTAGCGTGAAATACTCATGGTTAATGTAGAGCAAGATTTTTTTTTCCTGTTGTCACTTCAGTCTCCTTTTTGCAGTTTTCATGTGTGCACTCTAAATTTCTGAAGTTTAAATTTGGTTATTATCATAACTATATTCCAAAAGAACAATCTGGCGGAATGTACTGACACTAGCTGTACAAAAATAGATAACTTCCCTTGGGTGCACGGGGGGAAGAGGAGAATTGAATGCTTTTGCCATATTTTATTTTTCCTGCCTAGTGCAGATTTGATAATGAAATATCTGACAGACTGCCTTTCATGTGATACTTGTGAGAATGTTCGGATCGCTTGTTTTATTCCACCTGCTTGCGTTTCATAGGTTTTCAAATTCATCTATGCTTGCCGACTCGCTGAAATGGGACTTGCTGCTCAGGCTTTCCATTATTGTGAAGTGATTTCCAGAACTGTCCTTAAAGATCCACATTACTATTCACCAGTACTTATTGGCCAGCTAATCCAGGTAAGATACGGAAGCGTTAAGTATTTGTGCCTTCCTACTGTAAGTGGTAAACTGTGGCTAAAGTTGCCTTCCGTTGGCTGGTTAACTTTATAACGACTCCTTTTTCTAGGTGTCATCACAGCTACGCCTGTTTGACCCACAGATAAAAGAAAAACCAGAACAGGAGTCTTTTATTGAACCTTCATGGTTAGTAAGGCTTCGACATGTGGATGGACAGATCAAGGTATAGAATGTGCTTTTCAGCATGAAGCATTTTCTCTTAAGGATTAGTGTAAATACAATTTTTAAAATGGTTTTGTTTATACTGCTAATTATGGAAATATATGAAGTGACCTTAGGATATACTTGTGTCGTAATGCGCAAGTGGTATGATCTAAACCAAGTGGATTTACCACACTTTGGTGCCCTAAGGTTCAAAACAGAGTAGTCAAAGGGTCATGTATGTTATATGAGACAGACGTTGCTTAGTACTGTAATGCAGAGAGAATTGCAGGGCTCAATGGGTTGCAACAGCTCCTGCTGTAAGAGGATGTGCTTGCCAGAAAGAAAACACGGTTGCATGTGGGTTAGTATAGCTAACAAGAGTGGGAATAATTACCATTTGTTTAAAGAGAGCTGTTAGAAGTTTGAGCCTTGAACTAATTTAAGAAAACACAGTTGCACACGGGTTAGTATAGCTAGCATTTAACAAGAGTGGGAATAATTACCATTTGTTTAAAGAGAGCTGTTAGAAGTTTGAGCCTTGAACTAATTTACTAGTCTTTGATCTAAAAAATAAAATAAAAAAAACCAAAAGAACAACAGCAGAAAAGAAACAAACAAAAAGCTTTAAAAGTTTTGGTTGCACATGGCTGACAACTCATTTTTTGTGACTAAATACTGAAAAAAATCCTGTGTGCTGTTTTCACTCTTAAGATTTCCTTTGCTCTGTGTTCCCTTGCCTATGAACTTCATGCCTGGTGCAGTTAAGAAGATCTTGCTTTTTTGTGCAGGAGGGTGCAATCGCTTATAACGCAGACAGATCCACCCCCCCGCCGTACCCGTGCAGCACGCCCAGCTCTGAGCTAGACCGGGCCAGTCAGTGCGACGGAGCAGGAGTTGGCCGTGACATGGGTCCAGGTGCTGAAAATGCCTTGTTGGCATCCCTGTTACCTGGGATGGCTCAACAGATGCAGAGTGTGCAGCTCATGCCTTCAGGTGAGTGTTCCCCGTCCTGCTTCGTGACGAACAGAAAAGAAATCTTTCAGGTTTCTGGTATAAGAAATCATTTAAGAGGGTGGTATAAACAGTGAGATTTCACTTCTGTCTTGTATCTTTGTATTCACAGGGTAAAAGGTTCACACACTGGAATTTCTCTTTAGCTATAACTCTTATTTTTTATTTTTTAATAATTTTTCTTTTTGTGCCGCAGTACCTCAGGCTGTCCTTGATGGATCAGCTGCCGTGATTCCTCCTGGTGACCAGGAAGCTGTCCGAAGTGTCCCTTTCTATTCAGTGGCTCCTCAGCCTATCGGTCCAGGAGCCGGCTTTGCACCTCCGGGATTTTCAAATCCGTATGGAGCTGAACCGTCGCCGCTGTATTTAGGGTCAGCGCTGCCGCCAGGAGGGCCGCCACAAGAAATTGAGCCACGGTCAGAAGAGCAGACAAACCTGGAAACAGGTCTGGGATCTTAGTGAACAGATTTCCTTCTTTGTAAGGGAGGTCAAGTATTTTGGGGAATAATGCAAAATATCTCAAAAAAAGTAAGTCGAGAATCTTAAAACTGCCCCACAGCAATGGCTGCATCCCTCAGCCTGCTCTGACATGTGTTTAGAAACAAACACGATACCTGTGCAGGAGAAAAAAAAAAATTAAATCACAGCATTTACAGTTCAAATTCTTTAAAAGACCAGCACAAAATTCATAACAAGAGAAAACGTTTGCCTTAAAAGCATTATTGTGGGGTTTGGGGGCTTTTGGGTTGTGGTTTTGGTTTTTTTTCGTATTGTTGTTGTGGTCCCCCACCCCCGCTAACGTAATCTAATTTGGTTTTTAAGGAATGCAGAGAGTTGCCCCGGAGTCTCCTTCACAA